AAAAATCAACATGTTCTGACAATTAAAATGTCATAAAAAAAGATTAAAGAAATCTGAGACATTTTGATTTCTAATTGTGTCAAAATCTTAAATGTTTGTGAATAATAATTAACACTAAAAAAATACCTGACAATTAAACAATCATTCATAAAATGCGTTAAGGGGTAAGAAACTACCTACGTAATGAACAGAGTTAAACGTTGCGCAAGAAAGAGAGGCTCTACTTCGGAGGGAGACGAGAAAGGGGACGTTCCGGTGGCTGTTTGGACTTTGGATTTGAGGAAATGGATATTTCTTTCTTTTTCTTATATCTTGGGAAGCCACCGCTCACCGCCCTCGGCGGTCCGCGCCAAATAAATTTCGTTCCGTTATCTTCTGAGCTCGGCCCGACGGTGTCGTTTAGTACATGGTGGTATTTAATTTTAATTTTTTTTTATTTATTTGAATAAGAGAGTATTTAGATTTTTGAATTGATTAATCTCTCAAAATCATAAATTGCCCCATTTGTATATGCCAAGAATGAGTGATGATGTGTATGATCTATATTATAATTATTTGTATTTAAATGATATTATAAGAATTTAAATTTACATTTTTAATCAATTTTTATAATGGGTAAGCATCTTTTGTAATTTTTTTAACTTATCAAACTTTGGTTTGTAAAGTAATGACTAAAAGATCTTATTACCTTCAAGCTTTTTATTATCTCCTTGCAGAACCTAACATCAAATTAAAGCTTTCTTTTTTGTAAATTTTTTAGAACCAGATAGCCATACTCAACCATTAAACTTTAATGTGCTTTTGCTCTTAATGTATTTATTTGTTGAAATTTTAATAAATTAAAAATTTTAAATTCAAATGTTATTTGTGAAAAGGTAATTTTATGGCCTTTTGCATAGCCATGTAAACATAATAATAAAAACAACACCTATTAGCGACTTAATGACTGTAATTTTTGAAACAGGAAATCGTATATATATATATATAGCTAACAAACATGTCTCTCAAGTTCCTATTCACTTTATTAAAGTTCTAAGAATATTTGTTCATCAAACAGTTACACAGTACGGCCAAAGATCTTCTTAGTATGCATGAAATTACTGCCACTTGTTTCTTCTTTTTGAAACTGTACCTTCTTTGAGCATATCCATCTGAAAAACAAAATACATGGGCATAACTAAAATTTTGCACCGACCCGACCCCTAACTAAATATTAAGTATCTAAGCTTACTTCTGATAGGTCTTGGAGATAGAGAGCATGGAAATATGCTCGAAAGAATTCTTTGTTCTCTTTTTGTAATTCTCTCCATACTATAAACCATTAATTAAAATTCGTTAGACAAATAAAACACGCATACGCATATACACACAAACATAAATTATAAACACCAATAAAGAATTAAATTGACACTGTAAACACTCAAACAGATATTTGTAGAGAGAATGAACCTGTAAGTGTGATAACAGGTTCAATCCTAGCATGCTTTGCAAGTGCCATGACACAGTCATCCCTGCTCATGTGAAGGAGCAGGCACCTCTCTATCATATGCTGAACCTGAAAAACATCAAGAGGCTTAGAATTTAGGAACTTTACGAGGACAACAGCATATTAAAACCAAGCACAGTAGCAATGTAAAAACAAATTAAGAAAAGATATTCTAAGTATCCAAGCTGTTGGGAGATAGTTATATATTACCATTTTTATGTATTCATGTGGTTGGCAGTGCAAACAAGGAAGCTGATGCTCAAGATACATTGCGAAGATATTTGTGTTAGATATTTTTCAAATGGGTCTATATAGGAAGAAAAATAAAGGAAGGATGGAAGGAGTGGCTGTGGCTATTATCCAGAGAGATCCAAGTGAAGGGCCAAAAGGGCATGAGAAATCCTCAAGTGATAAGACGACTATTTCATGGCAGAGACAATAGGTGCTGATGGGGACCTCTACCAACACTAGTTCGAACATTTATTATGCTTAACATCAATTCAACCTTTGTTGTGGATTTGGTTAGTATCACAAAGTCCAGGAATACTTGCAAACCACTTCCTTCATGAATACGGACAAGAAATTATTTGAGCTAAAAGAAAAATAGAGGGATTCACAGTGGAATTTAATATTGTCGTTCATGAAGATAGAATGTAATCAATATGGAATTTTTGTGTTATCTTATTGTAATTAAGATGGAATTATTGTGTTATCTCATTCAAAGTTGCCTTATAGTTGTCATTTTAATTTTTTTACATGTAATTTTAAGTAAGAATTTTGTTAAAAATATATATAT